ATCATAGTAAAGAAAAGAAAACAGTTATGGTTCGTTTACAACAATCAGGTTAGGGTTAGAAAACTAACTTCCTTCAGCATACTCTATGTGATCTTATGTCACGATAAGTTTGAGAATTCAACATCTACTTGCAGTAAGTGGATGATTTGGGTCTGAAAATACAAGGAAGGCAAACTCATAAAAGATAAATGCGGAAAATAGGTGCATTTGTCACGGCCTGAAGATTAGGAACCCAGATACAGTTTACCAGAAGAATGCGTGGTCCTGCCAGCTCAGACATTCCTGTTCTACCCGTTTCTTGTTCCACTATGCTGTCAGGTAAAATAAACCGTGGGGAAGGTGGAAGCGTTCAGTTTTCACAAGGCTTCGGCAACTATAGATTACATCAGAATCTCTGTGCAACGAATCAACTGGACTTTAATATACAGTAGTTCTCGTCACTCTGCCAGCATGAGGAGGTATTTACTTCAAAATTACCTGTGGTCTAATTTTGTTTAATTGGATTATGTGGGTTTTTAATTGTTCCTTAGCTTAATATTAATAAATTCAAGTATATCTTAAGTTCATTCTATTTATTTTAAAAACTTAACTGTCAGATTTTCTTTGTTGGTGAGTGAATTTGTAAATAAAATAACTTTATTGACATTCACTAAAAAACTGAAAGGATTTTTCAATTTCAATTCAAATCAATTTCAATTCAGTTTATTTATCTGGTGCCAAGTCACAACAGAAGTCATCTCAGGGCACTGAACAAAAACATTCATATATAAAAATAATAATTTAACATTATTTATCTGAGGAGCAGACTGCTTTGAGTTTAACTCCATCGCAGTTTGTTTTTGATTAAAAAAAAAAAAACATTTAAAAAAAATTATTTGTTGCATCTTTGATAGCAAACTGTAAATGTCTTTTCATTTCTCTATATTTTGCTTTCAAGGAGCCAGGCTATCTTACAACAATATTTCATTGGACATTTGTGAGGTTTTCACTCATTTTTAGTCTTGTAGCATACCATTTTCAAAGGATTACTTAATTGTTTGTTGGGCTATTTTACTCTGACCTCTGCATAATTAAAGAGAGAAACTAATTATTCTTGTAATCGACAAACAGCTTTGCAACAAACCAATTTTAAACTAGATCTTTAAGCATCTTAGCACCAATCAGCTGATGAAGTGTTGCTCAGTTCATGGGTCTTTGCTGGATTTATTTATTTCAATTCAATTCAACATAACTTTATTGTCCATAACATTCAATGAAATGGAGATTTGTCTTTGACATCTGGCTCATCAAAACAAAACAAGTTAAAAAACTTTAAAAAGCTAACCCAATTAAAAACATTCTAAAATACACGATACATTAAAAATATGGAAACAGACAATGGTTTATTATGTGAAGCTGTGTTTAAATAGGACCCTGTTAAATACACTCACAGCGGAGGGAACAATTGACTTTTTGTACCCATTTTTCTTTACCAGAGGAACCTCCAAACGCTGCCAACCTGAATAATGGTTTTAGTGGATGAAATGGGTCACTGAACCTGTATTGCATTTTTTTTTTCCAGAACCTGACTGTACAGGTCTGTAAGTTTCATTTGTTGATGACCAGAGACTTTACTACCTTGTCTGACCACCCGGGACAGCTTGTTCCTTTCTCTGGCTATAGGAGGACGTTCACATACCATGAGACAAAATTAAAGGAAACAGCACTTTCAACCAGTGACCTGTACACCAACTGCAAAGTAATTTTGCTTGCATTAAAGCTCCTTAGCTTAGAAGGTGGAGACACTATCTGGCTTTTGTGTAAATATAGTCAGTGTTGGGCTCAAAGGTCTACTTGTTATCAATAATTCTTCCGAGGTATTTGAATTCAGTCACCTGCTCTACTTCCTGCCCTGTTATAACAGAAGGCCTGAATATACGTAGGTCTGGTGTTGGCTACTCCCCATCTACTCCCAAACAAAGTTCATTGGTTTTACTGACATTAAGGGCCAGAAAACTGTCATCATACCAGTCAGAGACCTCTCTTTATTTTATTTTATTATTTATTGGAGGATGTGTCTGTCAGGTACTCTTCAATTACTGTAGATAGGTTGTTCCTCGTGCATGCCATTTCTACTGAATTTCTCCAGTTTCCTTATTTATAAGCACACACTCTGCAATATGTTGTCGTGGTCACTTACAACCAAACAGAATATGAGCAACAACAACAACAACAAAAAAAACAGCCAAAGTAAATTAATGAATAAAAATAATCAAGACACTTTTAAAGATTTAAAAGTAAGTCCAGCTCTTTGGATGCTATGTATAAAGGAAATAATGGTGTTTTACCATTTTTTTTACATGTTTATTAGATTGGATTTATTTGTAAAGAAGAAAAGAATATTCAGACTTTGTGCTTAGACATACTGTACATCTTGTGCTGTATAACTTTTGTAAACTTTTTGTCTAACTTTTAGGTATTTTCACAAAAGAATGACTAAAAATTAGGAAAATGACTTATTCAAATTAAAAACATTGTCTATTTCAAACAATCTTTTAAGCCAGGGGTGTCAAACCCACTTACATAAGGGGGCCAAAATCAAAATCTTTTTCGAACTAAGGGCCAATTTCAGAAACTACATTAACTCAAGTCGGATGCCGAACATTTTTTCTTAGTCACAGGTTCCTCAACAAGAGTTTGATTGGTCTCATTTGATGTTCTCTGTTGTGCTTTCGACATCATAATCAAAGATTACTGAAAAGATTCAAGAGATGGAAGTATTTTACATTTCACATATCATCTTGGGGGCCAGATAGGACGTCATCGAGGGCCACATTTGGCCACCAGGCCTTGAGTTTGACACATGATTTAAACTATCACAATGGCAGAGGAGCTTTGATCCTAATTAGCTATCACAACTTTGTTCTAATAAACATGAGCTTTTATTTTATTCAGTTTTTGTTAAGGAGGTGGACACGCCAAGCAACCTAAAATTTAGTTAGACATTTCCAAAGCACTATAGTAATGCACATTTGACAGTGGTGTTTATAAAAAAAAACAATAAAATAAAGGACATGTAGCATACAGTAGATAATTTAAGACAGGAATCTCAAATCTGCTTTCATATAAAAAATAATCTCCACTAGGTGGCACAGTGGTACAGTTGGTAGAGCTTCCGCCTCTCAACAAGAAGGTTGCTTGATCGATTCCCAGCTGGGGGCCATTCTGGGTGGAGTTTGCATGTCCTCTTTGTGCATGCATGGGTTTTCTCCAGGTACTCCGGTTTCCTCCCACAGACCAAAAACATGCATGTTAGGCTGATTGGTAACTCTAAATTACCCCTAGTTGTGAGTGAGAGAGTGAATGGTTGTCTCGTTTGTCTCTATGTGTCCCTGTGTCCTGTCCCTGTGTCGTGTGCAGTGTGCCCCCCGCCTCTCACACAGTGACTGCTGGACATGGGCACCAGAGAACCCCACGACCCGAAAAAGGAAGAAATAGGTAAAGATAATGGATGGATAGGTTTTAAAACTTTCTATTTAACCCTCAACAAATATGAATTAGTAAAACGGATTAAAAAAAATTGTGATGGTATTTCTTCCATTTTGGTGATTTAAATTGAAAGTCCATAATTTGTGTGATGTTTGCCCAACATCATGATGTCATCCCTAAATGCTGATTCATGCTGAAGTGGTAAACTGGCAATCATCCATGACACATGCGTATTGTACATATGTTATCACAACCATATCTTATCTCCCACTCCTTTAACTATCAAAAAAGGCTTTAACTTACAGAACCAGTCATTTAAGGCATCTTTTTAAAAAAATGCTAACCAAAGCTGCTCTCTTTTGTTTTGTTATAGGACTTTTAGGAAGTTGTTCCTTCTCTTCTTTCAATCATATTTTCATCCATCCATTCATCCATTATCTTTCCCCGCTTGTTCCATTTTGGGTCACGGGGGTCGCTGGTGCCCAAGTCCAGCAATCACTGTGCGAGGGGCGGGGTACACCCTGGACGGGTCTCCAGTCCATCACAAGGCCATATAGAGACAAACGAGACAAACAAACATTCACTCTCTCACTCACACCTAGGGACAATTTAGAGTTACCAATCAGACTAACATGCATGTTTTTGGTCTGTGGGAGGAAACCGGAGTACCCGGAGAAAACCCACGCATGCACGAAGAGAACATGCAAACTCCACCCAGAAAGGCCCCTGGACTGGGGTTTGAACCAAGGACCTCATATTTTCATCATCATATCAAATCATATTTTTCATGTATACTTTAAGACATTATTTTTATAAACGTGCATCTCACCAACTCTGACTGAAAACCTTACTGTTGCTAAAAGACATTTACAAATTTCTGACAATTTAGGACACCCTCTAAAGTTCTCATCCAACAGATAAATTCTAATAATATTCATAATAATAATAATATAACAATAATAATAATAATTACAAAAGCCTAATTTATTGAATATAGGTTTGCTTTGAGCCTCAATTTACCTTTCGGACTTTTAAACTTATGATTTCCACTTTAAATTGTAACAGTGAAACAAGAAAACTGGTTTAAAATACCTGATACATTGAATAAGCCAAGAATATCATCAATGGCTTGATGGTTTAATATGTAAAACAGAAGGATGCATGTCTGCATCAATATGCAAATAATAAGGAAGTAATAAGGAAGGCTGCACCTACCAGAGTGCATCAAAGGAAAAATACATCCATCCATTATCTTTACTCGCTTCTTTCTTTTGGGATTGCAGGGGTCACTAGTGCCCATATCTAGCCATCAATGTGCGAGAGGCGGGGGACACCCAGGACAGGTCTCCAGTCCATCACAGGGCCACATAGAGACAAATGAGACAAACAACCATTCACTCTCTCACTCACACCTCGTAGCAATTTAGAGTTACCAATCAGCCTAACATGCATGTTTTTGGTCTGTGGAGGAAACCGGAGTACCTGGAGAAAACCCACGCATGCACAGAGAGAACATGCAAACTCCACCCAAAATGGCCCCCGACCAGGATTTGAACAGGCAAGAGGCAGCAGCCCTAAAAACTGCGCCACCATGCCGCCCGAAGAACTACATCGCACACCAAAATCTTCTTATCTGAATTGAAACAATTACATCAAAGCAACAAACCACAAAACAACACATACTGTATGGACACATTACACAATAACTCCACCCCTTTTTTGTGGAAAATATTTTACTTTTTAGTGTTGTTCGTATACCAGTGTTAACTAAAACTATGGTAATGATATGTAGTTTTTAGATTCCAGAGTATGGCATATCAGCTGAGAAATGTTATTGTTGCTGCCAATCAACAGCTTCCAGCACTATTCAGAAAATCTTTAAGACGTAGAGATTAAAATGAGTTTGGTTCCGTTTTTCTTTGTCAAAATAAACTAAAGCTGCTACCCCGTGATTTAAGGTGTCAAATTCTAACTGAGTTTGAATGATCGAGTAAAACTGCCCATGTCATATTTACTGCATCTGTTCCTGTGTAAAGTTGCTCTGACCAGTAATTTGCTTTCATTAATCTACAAAACTTCACAAAAAATCCATTACTGACTAAAATCAAAAAACAAAACAAGCTATTTGTTATAACAGCAAAGCAACAAAAAGGATCAACAACAAAGTCCATGCTCAATAATCCAGGTATACAATCCAACATTTTTCAGTCAGGTCATCTGGACAGTTTCTTTTTTTGTGCTGAAACGTTTCACCTTCGATCCAGAAGGCTTCATCAGTTTTGTGTTGTGTGTTTCCTTGACTGATGAAGCCTTCTGG